AGGCCATTAAATGACAAAGGCTAAATTTACAGAGTCCTGCCGGTAAGGTTTCATGTGTATCCATCGCATTTTCTTGCTAATTAAACCCAGCCATGCTGCACTCGGGATTGCTGGCAGATTTATTTTCAGACAAGTTTATTAATTCCACGAGACAGGGCAATTGGTTTGAACAGCTTGCACATGATAGATACTAGCATTCAGGAACATATACAACAGAAATATAGATTTTTTTTTTTTTTTTGCCATAAATAACAGGCCAAACAGGCTCATGGAATAAATAAAACATATGGCTTAAAAAAAAGTGAAGACATGCAATCCGTTGTTGTACCACAGAAAGCTGGAGCCCATCCCAGCTGACATTGTATAAAAGGCAGATTGCACCCGAACCTGGTCGCGAGTCAATCAAAGGGCACAGATCGAGATGACTATTCACACTCACTCAGTTTACTTGCAAAACAGCACATTTTCACTCCCTGTTTCAGAGCAATACATGTATGTAATTGTTGTGGTCGCCACACAAAAGACTCATATAATAACCGAGAAGCAAAATGCCCCATTTGAATCTGCGGGATATTTCCCACTAGGAAATTAGGGCATCCGGCCTCAAAACGTTCCAGTCACAAGTGAACGACAAAACATGGTCGATGGCAATGTCAAAATATTCAGGAGTCAGATTCCAAGATAATCTTAAAATTCACGACAACTTTTACAGTCACCTTCTCTCCAATTTCAATATCCGACTGTTCACTGTTTCTGTACTACATATGCCTTCCTGTGACGCTTATTTCACTTTAAGCCGATTCCATTTCATTTTTCCCAGTCAGACCTCTGGATGGTTGTGGAACATGAGATGCCGTTCACGTTAACAAGAGGCCGTCCTTTACAGTCTTCATCTTCATAGTTTTTGTCATTTAATCAGCTCTGATCGACTGAGACAATCGTTCAAACCGCCGCTGTGTTTTGGAGTTGTCGGTGTTTGGCGGAAAGCCTCGCCTTGCAGCGTGGCAGCTCGCTAGGCTGCTGCTCTCCGTGGCACTTAATGGTTGCCAAAATCGGAGGGAAAGGTCATTTATACTACAGACGCAGTGGGAGGGTGCACACGCGCAGGTGTCTGCATGAGAAGCCCCCTGTGTCATAACTGGCGCCAGAAATCCATTTTGGGCTGTTGGGCTGTGAAGGCTTTTCAGCCAACTGGCGTTTCCCTTCTTGACACTGTTTTTCTTTATCTTTACAGAAGAAAACACACCGATGTTGTTGCTTATTTTCAAATTTCAATCTTTTCCTACCTTGGCCCCTGAAGTGACGGTCATATATGTGTTCTTTCACATGCCAGGCTGGGCTTAACTAACACCTGTGCAATAAGCTGCACTATCTGTGCACTCGCTGCGGTTTGAAAGCAGTCATTTCATGCTTTTCAAGCGTTCCATATCACAGTTAGACCCATTGGCAATGCAGATGAGACTTCTTTGATTGGAGCTTTTTGCCAAACAGGAAGCAGAAGAGCAACACACACACACACACACCCCAAAAAAGATCATCACGTTGGATTCACTCGCCTGAAAAATCTTGGCAAAAAAACATATTTGCCCAGATGTCACTTTGCAAACTTCTTAGCTCCACCAGATGTCTTCAATTCAAAGTGTGAAGGAACTGTAATACCAAAACACACTGCATGAATAGATTCTTCTGTTTTTGGTTCCCTCCAATACAGGCTGTATCACCATCATGAACATTGTACAATTACATTCTGCAGGTTGAGATGCAATGTCCTCGTCAAACTGGTGGCAAATTATATTAACTAAAATATTTTGAAAAAGTCCGCTTTTTTCATGTTTACCCAAAATTTTACCCAACTTTGGTAAAAAAGATCAGAATATTGGTCTATGAAGTGAAAATGTCCATAGAAAAGACAACATCCAACTTATTTATTGAAGCTTGACCGAAATGTAAATGTTTTTAACTGGTTCCTGAATTATTTGTCTGATAGCTCTCAATGTGTGAAACGAGATGCTGTTTATATTAATAATAATAATAATATTTATGTTGAAAGCGCTTTTCAGTGAACTCAAAGACACTTTACAAGAGTTTAAAACACGGGATTAAAAATGTACACTTTAAAGCCAAGCATACATGATTTAAAACAAACACATTTACTTACCAACGGTGTCCCTCAGAGGTCACTTCTCGGTCCGGTGCTTCTTACACGTTATATTGCCGATAAAGTGTCCCCACAGAATAACTGTCATGATTATTCTTTTGCTCATGAAACTAATTTGTATGGTGTGGCTGACACTGTTCCACAAACAGTTGAAAACTGGCAGCTTAAGCGTCTCCATACTTTGAGCAAAAGTAAATGTATTGCAGCAATGATGAAGCTAGGTACGTCACCGCGTGCAACAATTCATGTTGTGCCTTACCTTGTGCCATCCCAGCCTGGTGGGCTGCTCTCATCTTGGTAATGTGTCAGCCCGCATTAGGTGCACCAGTGAGCAATGGTCGCAGCCAGGACCAGGTGGTGGTTACTCGAATCTTTGGGAGGGGGCTTTGTGTCTGCGCGTATGGGACAGGAGGCGCGGAATTGGTCTATTTGCCATCTGGAGCACCAGGACCATCCCAGGTGAGGCGGAAACCTCAATGTACTCTTTCTGTCAGTCCACACATTGGCTTCAATCCTGAAACCAAAAACCCTTTTTGGAGGCCAACCCCGGGTCTCTTTGCCATACCCCCTAGTGAGAGTAAACACCAATACGGAGGGTGTGAAATGAGCCATTACAAGGTGTGCCGCAGCCCTCCCGAATAAAGCCAAGTGACCCAAATTCAGCGATCATTAGGCCAAGCGCGATTTCTTCATACAGAAACACTCATAAGAAGAGTCAAATATTTGTGCTCCCCTACAAAATTCATTTGTAACCGCATGAATGGAGAAAAAATGGATAGATGGATTCATATGAAAAGAGGAAGACCATCATTGTGTGCGTTTAGTACATTGCGGGATATTCATTGAAGAAAGTGTGAGTGTGCATGTTTCAAACAATCTTTCTGCAGAGGGAATTGGAGGGAGCTGCAGCCTTGTAACAGGGCTGACTACAAATCAAATGGAGAGATTTTTCCATTACTCTAGGATGAAAAAAGAATTTAGCAACACCAATAGCGTTAAAAATAATCTGCTCACATGAAAAGGCATTCAAAGGCTGTGAAGTGAATTCCAAAGCAATTGCTGTCTGTATCATCACCAGCCATAAGGACATTTTAGCCAATTAGACGATGGAAGAAAATCACTTCTTGAAAAGGTACACAATAGCGTCGGCGGCCAATTGAGAAAAATTGGAATCGTGCATGCGGAAGAAGAGTGAAGCAAAGTCATTCAAAGACCATTTCTGGACATGATTGAACATTATGGTGTCATGTTAAAGTGATAAAAATGTGGCTTAACCCATGAACAATACAAAACAACAAAAAAAAAATACATGATCCTGATAATACATTTTCAGGGTACTCAAGACCGACCTTGCTGACATTCGAACAAAAAACTGAACATGGCCAACAAACAGCAGCAGTCCATGCATGACCATAGAACTTGCAATCAAGTTTTTTTTTTTGATATGACGGATGGCGTAGTCTTGACATGCACGAGAAACAATGATGACCCTCTCTGTCAAGTAGCTGCGATTGTGAATGAAAAGAAGCTGGTATGTTGTCAGCCTATATATCCTGTACAGTCTGTGGGGCACTTCAAAAGAGCACAGCTAATTTCATAATAAATAATGCAAAGGGTTCTGCGCGAGGCCATCTCCAAGTCAAGCTAATGATGCAATTAAAGGCAGAGGCTTCATCTAGTATGTATGGCGACTGGAAATAAACCTTGCAAATGTTTATATCTAAATATATCTGTTCAAGAATACTAATCTTGGCTTGTATTGTGCGGCCTTCTGTCAAGTCTTAAGAGTGTTTACTGCTTCACAACTCCTGACCCCTATTCACCCATATATACCTTGCTCCATCCATTCCAAACCCAAGCTCACCTCTCCACTCCCAACAATTGTTTCTGCCAAGAAATCTTCAAAGCCAGTTTGCTTGTCACCGGAAGCTTTGGGATCAAGGTAGTAATCCACCAAACGTATGAGTTACTGTTTTGCATTCTTTGCTCATTCTATGTGTGCTGAAAAAAAAACTCCAGCATTTTATTCTTGGTTACAGCCAAAAGAGGCGTACTGTAGGTTCCTGTGCAAAACATGGTTAGAAATAATCATTGGCACCCCTGGCTAAAATGTTTTCTTAAGCTTTGAAAATATATATTTTTCCCCAAATAATATAGGACCAAAATTACAAAAAAAGAGGAAAATCTGCACCCTCTGCTCTGCCCTTTCCTCTTTAGCCCCCTCCACAGGTTAACTGAGATGGCCAGGGGAGGAGCTTGACTCTATGACTGATCAACCATTTCTCCAATTTTCAGAATGGAAAAAATGCTTCGCCAGCAAATATTGAATTTATTTTTGGACTTTTAGCACATCTTAACCAGGGGTAGGAATAATTGCCATAGGTACTGCATGCAAAATTAAAAATATTGTAGTCTTATATACCATCATGGTACAACTAATTCCAAACATGATCCTCGAGTCCATTACACCCCATTTAAAAAAAATGTTGTAGAACTGATTTATAGTTGTGCCTTGTTGACGTTTCCAATTAAGTCTTTTTAAAACGTCTATATGAAATAAGACAATAATACAAGCTCATCTCCATAATTTCAGTTCACATGCATCATGATGCTGGATTAAACCTCGTTTTAAATAGTCATACCCCCCCCGACTACATTAATTATTTCCAAGACACTTTCGAAAAATATTTCATCTCATGAGAAACTCTAAGGGAGGATGTTTTTAACAGCGTGTTTCATGCTCGGAGCGCCTCCCTCACAGCCCAGTTTCCTCTTGCTGATTGGCTAAAGGCTCGCGTCAGTCACAGCCGTGTGGGCGGGACTTATCGACTCTCTCTTGCTCCACGGAGGGAGTGGGGCAAGGCAGCAGTGCATCTTCAGTTTACCGAAGGACGCCAGTCGTCGGTCGATCGACGAAGGCTCACTGTCTGCACAACTGAACCTCACCGCAGAGCTCCTGTAAACAACCCAACTCAACAACAACAACAAAAGCAGCACCTTTTTGGGGTGGGCCATTTCAAAGCTCGCTCGACTTCACCTTTCAACCTCAAGGACTCGTTTAAAAGTGTACCTGGAACGGAGCAGGTCCGGTCGGGGAAGCTACGAGGCGGACAAACCTGAGGCGAGAGCGACGTGCAAGACAACAAGAAGCCAGGATGAATCTCAACAGTCATGCCATCTTCACCCTCTACACTATTTATGGGATTCTTCTTCGAGGTAAGCTTTTTGTCTTTTTCGAGTTGCGGGCGACGCGTCTCTTTGTGAGACGGCGTGTGCGTGCACCTTGCATGCAAAAACGAAGAGTCAAGTGCTTTTCTGTATGCATGTACAGCACACGTGCATAGGTGCACCTTTGCATTTGGAAAGTGATGAGGGGCCACCCTGGGGGTCTTGCCTCTCTAGTGCCTAGCAATGGGTAAGGTGTTTCTCAAACACGCGACCCGAGCGCCTTTTATTGCTCTGCATCTCCCACCAGTGGCAATTAAAAACATGAACGCGTGCCCAGGAAGAGGCGCAAGGGAGGCGGACACACCTCACCGTGATCCGTGCTGCCCCCACCCCTCAGGTGTTTATGGACATGCAGCTTTCTGATGAGTCACTGTTGCGATGCCGGCGATCCATTTTCTTTTTTTTAATAACGGTGATGTTTTTTGTTTGTTTGTTTGGACGTGCCTTTTATGGAGGAGTGGAGGTGCAAGAACAAGTGCACCACCCTAATGTCTCCATATTGTGGTGTAGTGTGTGAACTGCATGATGAACACTAGAGTGACGTTGGAGGTCAAGGTCACATGGTGAAAACGCCCACAGCGTGGTACATTCATTCTCATGTTTCAAATGAAAAGCCCCACACATGATGATTAAAAAAATGTTTGTAGTTACTTTTCTTTTTGTGCGTAGTGCACTCAAGAGGACGAACATAGCAAACCGAACACAAAACGTAACAACTCAGACCATCCAGTCTCATACCCCAAGCCAGATGTCTGTCATAGTACCAAGACTGGCCTTTGAGGGGCAGCACAGTGCTTCAAGCGATATAGACTCCTGGCAAATGCAAAGAAGAAGAAATGGAAGAAGCAAGCAAATTGTTGTTTAGCTGGTAACTACGCTGCAGTTGCAAACACTGCTAGTTTTATTGTGGTGAGGTTAGGTCATGTCCTAATTGGATATTTGCCCGTGTAATATTGCACTCGCACAGATCTCAATATTTCACAGTAGAGGTGCAACGATTAATCGACAACGGCTCGATTGTCAAGTTAATTATTTTCAGAGTGTCAATTATTATTTGGAATCAAGTCCTGTTTTTTAATAAAGGAGCAGAAATTAAAACTTGTTTTTAAATCTGATTCATCAATTTCTGGACAAATTAATTGATTATTAGAATGAAATCATCTTTGTTTGACTGTTGCATATTTCATCACACTACGGATCTCGTTTATACCCACCAACCAAGTAGTTGTAGAGCCGTACCTGTTTTGCGCAGCATTCGCTGCAGGTTGAGGGCACAGGGAGGCTCCAGCTTGAGTTTGCCATGTTTGCCACCGGTTGCTAAGCGACCAAACTGGAAGTGGCCTGGTACCTTTTCCCAGTTGTTTGGATTTGAAGTTGGCTGAAGTCGTCTTTAGAAAGAAAAGCCATGGCTTGTAATCAAAGGCTACTGTATATCAATACATTTGACTTGACTGGCTTGGCTTTTCCGGAGGTGGAAGAAGAGGAGAAGGAGATGATGAGCTGGCGGCAAGAAAAATAGAGTTCACGCTCCTCTGTGAGCTGCAGCTATTTGGAGACCGCTTCGAAGTGTACTTCAGGCTTCTTCAAATTTCTCCATGCTTTTTTTTTTTTTCTTCACCAGAGCCGACAATGCCACCAAATTATCTTGCTCTTTACACTCCAAAATCACCCTACCACCATCTCCCCTACGTAATGAGGCATCCGATGATGCGCCCGAGTGGAACATTTTTCATTCTTGCCGTGCTTTGTACTATTTTATAAAAAGTCATTGTGACAGTAGCTTTGCCATATTTGACACATCGTAAAGTATTAGAATGACTGCAACGATGGCAGCTCCCCACGTCTTAGGACAATATTCTGGCCGGTGAAAAGGGGCATACATGAAAAGCAAGCACGAGAGGGATGCCAAAATACTGCATATTTCTTATTTTATGGTATGGATGTGCAGGTATCAAATAATACTGTACTGTCATTGGATGATCCAAAGTAATTTGTGGACTTTATGGCTGGCGCTGTTTGTTTGGGTTTTGATACATTCGTAATGTGATGTATGATACCGTGATCCCTTTCCTCTATTGCAATCCGCTCTTTATTGTTGTGTCCGTATAAGAAATGGACTCTGATGGCTATTTCTTCATGAGCTAGCTTTCACAGGAGGTGAGGGCCTTGCTCACTTGGAGAAAGCTAAAAAAAACGGACAGGATTCAACCAATGTTTAAAATGTTGTAACAGCCGTCGTGGTTTCATTTTTTTTTTATTTTTTTTTTTTTTACTATTTTATGGCTGTGTGGCTCGTAATGCTATTGTGGACCATGTAAGGCCCACGGACCACAGGTTGCCTATCCCTTCTGCAAAGTGTATGTTGCATGCTCGAGGTGCTTCCATTGTTATCCGTCGCCATTCCTTATGATCCCAAAAGGGCGGCACACTCATCCGCAGCATGTTCAGTATATATGTGTGTGTGTGTGTGTGTGTGTGTGTGTGTGTGTGTGTGTGTGTACATATATCCCCGCCAATGTGTGCTGTGTTTGCATAGCTTCTGTTCAAGAGGACCTGACGCAATGAGAGGAGAGTGCACGTCGGTCTCTTTTCATATGGCGCTGGTACACACACACACACACACACACACACACACACACACACACACACACACACACACACAAATGCGCCACGCAGTCTCCGCAACCCTGAAGAGGATAATGCTAGGCTGCTTGATTTGAACAGTCATTTCCCAGTGCAAGGCCTATTATTGTACAGGTCGCGCTCAGCAGGCAGGTCAGCCTCCTCCTGAATGGAGACGATATCACTCAAGTCACCGACAAGCTCGCCGCTGTATGCTGCGGCTGGCTCGGTCTAGTATCCATGGATTAGACAAGTGCACGGTGGCAGTGCAAAAGTGTATTATTATTATTATTATTATTATTATTATTATTATTATTATTATTTTTTTTAAGCTTGTTGCTGTTGCTTTTGCCCGGCATGTGCCCATGAGCCAGAGAAAAGCGCCTGTTATGCAAATGCACCTCTTACGCAAGAGCCCGGGGCTGAGCGGCTGGCAACGCAGCGAGCAACGCAGGAAGAAGAGCTGATGTCAGAACAATATGGGAGCAGAGCTGCGGAGGAGGAAGGCGCAATCTCCTGACGATAAGAGTGCGACGACCGCACTTTGCGTGTTGTTTAGGATTCGTAGTTTATCTCCTGTGCCGCCGCCCCGCTCGTTCGCTTGCAAGTCTATCTGTTTTCCAACTCTGATCTCGCGAGTCGGCGTACGAGCCCCCGCCGCGTCATGCGTTTATCCCCTCAGTGAACGTAAGCCGCCGAAGGCTGACCCTCCATCCCCCTTGCGCCTTCGTCCATTCCTCCCTCGCTCTCATCCGCCAGTCCTGGTGTTGGAGCTTTGTAGCGCGGCAGCGTGGGAAAGCTTCTGATAACAAGCGGCCTTGTGTGTGTGTGTCTGTCCGCGTGTGTTTATGTGTTTGCAGAGCCACTGATTACATGGGAGAAACGACTCTGTTTCTTCCTCGCGCGCCGCACACTCTCCCCTCCTACTTCTGCATCCATTTTCATGGCTGCGCTCCGACAGGTTTGAGCATATGAGGTGCTCCGTACCTTGTGTTGATGGCATAAAGCCTCAAAGCTTGGAATCCTCTGTGGAGCAGCTCTGGACCTCTGTGCCTCGCGCACGCATGCCCACAGCCAGCCGTACATGCACAGAGCCCCACTGTGGATTCACTGCTCCTCTGCCAAAGGATTTCCCCTGATCAAAGCCAGTCTTTTTGTTAGTCCAGGTGTTAAAAAAGTTGAAACAGAGAGGAGGAAGTGGCTGCGGGGGATTGTGGTAGGATTCAGAAGCTACAAGCTCTTCCTGGCACAGTAGAAGTACACACCGGTGCAGAACTGCTCCTGAAACATGATGCGCAATTTCACACCTGTGGTTGATTCTCTCTGCTCAGTTGATGAGTTTATCTTTGCTTTATTTTCCTGCTGAATCCTAAAAGGGAGAACACTGAGTCCCTTTTAAAGCCGGGTTGGTCGGTCTATTTGTTTCCCTACGCTGGCATGACTCGGGAGTTGAGTCCATACCTCTGCTCAGGCCCCAGCAATCCCAATTTGAATGACCACCAAATTGCCGTGCATCCTAATTTAGGAAATTGATTTTCGGTAAACCCCCATTTACCACGGCCATAGTATCATATATTCGCTAGCGGATAGCAACGTTAGCCGCTGTAGCAGCACGAGCAGCGCTAGCGGCTGGCAGCGCTTACGTTAATATTAATAGACCGAAATGACCCTGCACAGTTTGATGCCGACAACCTAACACAATTGCCGTTGCTGCTGATCACTTTTTAATAAACCGGGTTTACTCCGGTGTGTTATTTTACCTGACAAAATCGCTGCTATTGTTCTGACGTCATTTCGTCTCATAGACCATAATGTAAGGGGAGAAATTCTCACTAATATTTCTGGAGAGGAAAATAGTGTGCCGCTACGCACAGTTTAAAGTTAAGTATAAATTGTTGAAAATCTGATCATTATGAAGTGGAAATGCGTGGGTTTGTTTTTTTTTTTTGTCTTCTGTATAAATCACTTTAGTCATCTTTTTGATGGTCTGACAAAATGCAAAAGTCCTTGGTGTGGAACTGTATGCACGTTCTAAGAACTTGGTTGAGAGTAGGTGGTGAATTGATTTTAATTTCTTACCATAATGCCTCGGGGGGGAAAAAATGCTTTTATTGAGAGGGTGCTGCGAAATCTCCAGGACAATAGTCCAAAAAGTCACCTCATCAAATTGGCAGCATTATTTTTACATGACATCCAGCACAGAACTGAATACTTGGTAATTTTTTTTTCTAAATGGTCACTTCTGAAAATGGCCTTGATGAAAACCATGCGCGAGCTCTGTTTTCCATTATGATACTTCAGTTTTGATCCGTCAGCGTGCTCACTGATCTTCGATACCGAGTGCTTTAGCACTTCTTGGCAAGTAT